TGCCTTCTTGCAACACTGATGTAAGAATAACTCAGTAATGTTTTAAGACATTGAGAATTTTATGAAAATTGTTTAAAATGAAATTAGATATAGGAGTTTCACTGACTTATCCCACCTGGAAGGTATTTCCTTTAGAAAGTTTTATTCTTCTGCATCAATGAAATTTACTCTTTGTTTCCTCATCAACATAAGCTAATTTGGCAGATATCTAGTTTTTTTGGTTGTTGTTGGTTTTTTTATTTTTATTTTAGGGAAAGGTCTACAGTGGGTTCAGGGTCTCACTACTAGATCAGACTCACAGTGATCTGCCAGTTTATAGCCTCCCAAGAGCTGGGATTGCACGCGCACACCACCACGCCCAGTCTCAATTGCTGTTTCAGCATGCCCCAGGGGCAGAGCGGACACGGCAGGCCTGAGGATAGAACTCTGGTCCTTGTGTCTGCTTGCAGATGCCTTAATCCGCTGAGCTATTTGGCCAGCCCTTAATTATCTAATTCTTTAATGAGATATTTCAGTTGCTTCATAGTTCTTGGAGTTCTATATAAATCTTCCCTTATTTATTTTTTCCATAATTTTATTGAGAAACAAATAGCAATGAGACAGTTTCAAGCCAAATTTCCCTTATTTATTTAATAAAAGTTTATGGGAAATTTTAGATATCGGCCAGGTAAAGAAGAAGACTGGACAACCATGATCAATTCTTATCTAACAAGGAAATAGATATTCAAAATTGATGAATCAAAGCTACCAGCAAGAATATTAAATACTAAAATAAATCTGAGATAGAATAAAAATAACGGATTTTTGAGAGTGCAGCTCATACTGATAGGATTGAGATCACTAACATTGTCTTCATGGTCATTTTTTTTTATGTCTTTTTACCTTTCAAATGCATCCCTGTAGTATTTTACATATATTACCTTGACAAAATTTTAAATTATTTTTATGAGTGTAAGTTATACATGTTAGTGAATCCCTTTTATATTGTTTGACCACTTGACATAGTTAAGTTAATCCAGAACTTTTCTGACAAGGAAAAAAATCATTCCTATCAAACATACAATCAAATAGGTAAACAAGATCCTGCCTGGAGACACCCAAGCCCTTCAACTGAGGATTTCTAGTGCACGCCTGATATACACACACACACACACACACACACACACACACACACACACACACCAACCAATCACGAATCCATGAGTTTCATAGCTTACATCACATTACATATTGCCTTCTCATTTGAAATACTAGTGACCTTCAGGAATGTAATGAGTCAAATACCCTGGTACAAGATAGTTTAGAGAAGGGCTTCCCTTTTCATAGAATCCATATGAGCCAAAATAAAATATTTAAAAATGCCGAAAGGAATAAAGTAGTTTTAAATAACCATAATAACAACTTTACCTCTCTTAAAGGGACTTCTGACAGGTAGCCAGGAAAGTCAAATTTCACCTTCTTACCCTCTGTTAGAAACAAGATTCTGGTGTTAACTATCCTCAGAAGCAAAAACAGACAGACTGAATGCATGAATTGTAAGTCTTCCTTGCTCTTTACCATTTTTCAGTATGAAATAGTTAGAGACTTGGACAGATGTTTGCCTTTCTCATTTCACTTGATCTTTAAACAATTGCACAGTAACCAGGGCAGTGCATTATGGGTAGATATACAATCATGAGGGTATTGAAATTTTCAGGCCAAACAACTAGCAAGGTGCAGAAGGAAAGCACCTATTTAAACCATATACCTGAAAGTCATCACTATTTTCCTACTTACATAAAAATTCTTTTTGAAAAACCATGAATGGCATGTGATACATATGCCTTAAGTATTTATTTCTTTTTTTTTTCATTCAATAAACACTTAACAAATAATTACTATGTAAAAAGCCTGATCTACTTCTAATATCAACCTGTAATAAGAGAAATGTCAATGACATATGCCTCAGTCCAGGCTTCTTTTCTCTCTCTGTAATCTGATCTAACACTGCTCGGTCTTTTATAAACTCTTGTCATAGCTTCCATGAGTGAAACATCAATTGAAGCAGTTCGAGAGAAGAGATGCCTGGAATGCCATGATCTAGGAATCAATAGTCAAAAGAAGGCAAATTAGATCTTTGTAGGAAAATCAAAAGATTATCCTAATAGTAGAAAACAGCTATCTTCTTGTCCTGGAACCCCTGGTGCCCAAAGCTGGGGAGTGTTGTGGAAGGTCATTTTTAGTTATGTCGTGACTCCCAGCATCCTTGAAATGTAATTGCTACCATATGTGCAGAAAATGAGAGGATGAGTCCACAATGATTTCCAGATTTCTGTTTTGAAAACCTGAATACAGATATGGTATCACTCAAAAATATAAGGTGACAAAGGCAGTTCGACCTAATGGGACATAATGAATCCCATTTTGAGTGTGTGGCTTTGAAGTGCGTGACAGGTATCTAGGAAGCAGATCGATGAACATACAGTAGTGTTCAGAGCCTGTTTTGAGGCTTGCTTGGAGATGTGGATTCAGAAGGCTTCTTGACAGAGTACAATTCAAGCCATATAATCATACATGAAATGTGTAGAGGGCGAGAAAAGTACAAAAGACAGAAGCTCAAAGAGCTCCAGATGGTAGCAAGCACTTATTTTTATTTTTTTATTTTTTTTCTTTTCAAAGTTTTATTGATAAACATATAGCAATTAGACAGTTTCAAATCAAATCGAAAGTACAGTTTCAACAAATAATACACTGCATATATTCTTCTTAGTGGTTAATTGCTGTACAAGATGCAGACTTGTGATCCTACTTACAAACACCATTAGAAAAAATAATTCTATTCTTATTTTTAAATAAAACGTTAGAAAGAGGGAAAAGAAAGCTTAAGAGACAAAGAGAAGTCACCAGAGAAGGGTACAAAAGTCTAGAAGAAAATATATTAGAAAAACATAAGGGGAGGGGCCAGTCAGATAGCTCAGGGGACTAAAACTCCTGCTTAGCCAGGCAGAATGACCAAGGTTTGATCCCCAGCGTGCAGCGCCAGCTCCATCCCCAGGGTGGGCTGAGATGGTGAATGGGAATGGGCATGGTGGTGCGCGCCTGCAATCCCAGTGCTCAGGAGGCTGAAAACAGGAGGATTACTATGAGTCTGATCTGTGTAGTTAGACTCTGTAGTCCTTGTACTAAAAGAAAATGTTTTTAAAAAGGAAAAAGAAAAATGGGAACATTTAATAAATGAAGTGGGTCCATAGTAGCAAAGAGTACAGTTCAAGTAGATTTGTGCACATAAAGATCATTGCGGATGTTTGTCTAAGCAATTTTAGGAAAGCAACAGAATGGGAAGCTACATTTTGATGAGTGGTGCGTCGGGTGGAACTGTCAATAGGAATGAGATTGGAGGCAGCGAGTGTAGTAATCTAATTTTTTCACAATGAACATGCAGCAACACTTGTGTAATACAATTAAGAAATGGTAAAAATCAACTTGGTTAACAGAGAAAAGTAAGAAATCAGAGAGTAGAAGGGACTGTGGATCTGAAGATCATCTGTTGTTTATATCCCAGGGGAAAGGGAGAAAGGAAAAAATGCAGTGGAGAGAAGAGGTAATTCCTATGAGAAAGCCAGTAACACTGGCTGCTTTCTCAAAATATGAGTGCAACTGAAGGCTATGAAGAGCTATGTGTGAACCAGATGTCAGTCTATAAAAGCCCTTTGGCATGAATGTGTTTTCTGAGAGTATAGTGCTAGTCACAAAGAGAAGGTAATATTTCCATCATCATTCACAACAAACTAGCGCTGACTCTGTGAAGCACTGGGTTGTTATTATCACAGACAACAAATGTAAGCTCTTATTTGTCTGTCTCTGGTAAGGGCTAGAAAATAAGTTGTCTCTGACAGAGGTCCTTTAGGTCCAGAACTTTCTCTCCTGCATTACACTCTGTGACAGCATTTTTTGTGACTTACTGGGGGAGTCATTTATATTGACCTCCCTAATCTTAACATAAGATATATTTTGAAAAACAAAATTATTACAATCAAGAACACACTGTCTGAAAAAGTATATTTTGTGTGCATCTTTCCTTAACAGGCATAGCAATTTTTTTTCTCAAATATAAGAAATGGAATACATACTTTCTCAGACATGTGTTAAAAAAAAAAGCAATGCACCAGAATGCCTTATAAGACACTAAATATAAAGCATGTGTGTTGTTATAAGTAAAATTCATTTCATGTTAGTAAGAAATTTAATAAATTGCTAGAAGTGTAGTACATAAAAATACAAAAATTTACTTCTATAACACATAGTATATTACCAGATGAGTGCCAAAATTGGACATGGGTTCTTAAGATAAGAGTTTTAAATTTTTCAAATATATATTTCTCTCTTTTTCCTTAATCAAATACATTTCACCATCTGCTTGATATTTGAAACAAATAAAATATGGCCATATACATAGAGTATTGGCCTTTATTGCCTTGCATGTGCTTGTTTATTAAAGAAGATCACCCAGAGAAACATTTATTTTTTGTAGTTGAAATGGAAACTGCCTTCAGTTGCCTGCTGTTGGATCAGATCTATACATTCGTCCATGACCACATCTTTGTAACTGTGAATCTGGAGTGGAAATTGTCCTGAATGCTTTTCTGCTCTCTGGAAATTAAAGAAAGACTTTCCTTTGCAGGGCTGCCTGGGTACCAAGCTGTTGTATTCACGGGAGGAGTCCCAGTTGGAGCCACTGGTGCCCTTATATTACAGAGGATTCCTCCAAGCACAGCAGTGGTGCCTGGTTCAGTCCACTACTGGGAACAAGCAGTGACCAATAGAAAAGGGAGAGGACCATCCAAAAGGTCTGAGGTAAGCTGTTTTCTCGGAAGCCCTGGCAGAGTGAGAACAAGACATCAAAAGGTGTTCTTGGGGACTGGACAGAATAGGTTTGGCTTTTTCTTGTGGAAGACTTAACAGCGTCAAGTAAAACCAACTCAATTGTTTTGTTTTGTTTTTTTTTTCTCAACTGACTTTTAGCAAACTGCAGACTCACACGCAGGACTCAACGGTACATTCCTGGAAGGCAAGGTAAACTATTTTGCATTTTTTAAAACTCTTAAAGCTAATAACTTAGAGTTCTGATATAAACTTATAACTTTGAGATCTAAAGCAAATCCTTATGCTAAAAAGAAAAGAAAATTAATGAGACTTTGCTGGAAGATGGCCAGATCAGCATTCTGCAGTCGTAGGAAAGTTGACAGCTTGCAAAAGCAACTCTGCACTTGTCATTATGAGATTTAATAGCAAAACTCAAAGATCAGCACTTCACAAATGTCTGCTTATCTTCCTCCCTGGGAATCTGTATAATTTAGTCTCTCCTTAGTGACAACTACTGAAACTAGATGCACTTTGATTAACATGCTGATTTTTACATGCTTATGTCATATATAAATACATTTTAAACATATGTATGTATATTATGTGCATATGTATAATTTTCACTTGAAATAGTTCTAACTATAATGTCTGATGAAATGCACTGTGAAGGGTTTATGGCTTTTGAATATATCACATGCCAATAATATTAACCTGTTATTAATATTATACATACAGAAAATATTAATACAAGAAGAATTTTCTATCTATATCCTAAATTTATTTTGTTTTGTCTTGCTTCTCATGAAGTATAAGAATGACTAAATAGATATGCCCCACACTTACTTAAGTAATATGTGTATCTCTGTGTAGTAAGCTGTCTTTTTCATATCGCTATGTATGTGTGTATGCATTGGCAGAAGGTTATTATATGACATATATATGATATATATATGAGTAATTACATAAGAAAAACATCAATTTGTTGACTGAGTAGCTTGATTCTGTCATTAACAAGTCTTTTTCTCATCAAAGTCAAACTTACCTGAGAGCTTCAATAACAGAAGAGTTTAATTATACGCTTTTCTTCAGCTCCTAGAACCTTCCTTCACAAAATAAACTGCAGTGTTCCCTGATCTCCTCGTTTCTTTGGCTGAAGGGCCAAAGAACCTGGGAAATCTCCTCCAGATGGTTTGCTCATTTAAAAGTAAGAGAAAAAGCATGTGCCTATCTCTGAGGAACAACATAGTTCCTCTACTTCAATTAATAAAAGATTATTTTTGTGCTCCTATATTCAACTACTGGTTTCAATTAAGTCCCTTGAATTAAGCAGCTTGAAATGGAAAAGCACTTAGATCTGCTGAAATGTATTTTCCATTTCTCAGCTTTCATCGTGATTGGGTAAAAACCAGAAAGCGACTAGTTGAATTAGTTCTGAAGTTTGTAAAATGTTTTGCACATGGTGCGTACTAAATACATTTTTATTAATTGATATCTGTGAGTGAAAGGAGAACATTTTCACCTCTCTGCTGAAGAAGAAATGTCCACTGACCACCCTGCTGCATACACTTACCTAAGAGTCAAGATCTTATATATCTAATAGCAGTATCTCTTGTTCTATAGGCAGTCTAATGGCAGCCACAATCTTTTTCCTCGTCTGGGTGTTATTCATAACACACAGTGCGTGGACTCAAAGCGTGAGACAGCTCTATGATGGGTATGAGACAGAGGACTGGTCTTCTCATGACTTCAGTTGTCCCAGGGAATGTTTCTGCCCTCCCAGCTTCCCTACAGCTTTATACTGTGAAAATCGAGGTCTCAAAGAAATCCCTGTTATCCCTTCAAGAATCTGGTACCTCTACCTTGAAAACAACCTGATAGAAACCATCCCCGAGAAACCATTTGTGAATGCTACCCAGCTTCGATGGATCAACCTAAACAAGAACAAAATCACCAACTATGGAATTGAAAAGGGGGCCCTGAGTCAGCTGAAGAAGCTGCTTTTTCTATTTCTGGAAGATAATGAACTAGAGGAAGTGCCTTCGCCCCTGCCAAGAAGTTTAGAGCAGTTACAGTTAGCTAGAAACAAGGTGTCCAGAATTCCTCAAGGGACCTTCAGCAATCTGGAAAATCTGACACTTCTTGATCTACAACACAATAAACTACTGGACAGCGCCTTTCAAAGAGACACCTTTAAGGGCCTCAAGAACCTCATGCAGCTAAATATGGCCAAGAATGCTCTGAGGAGCATGCCGCCCCGACTGCCAGCCAATACAATGCAGCTGTTCCTGGATAACAATTCCATCGAAGGGATACCAGAAAACTATTTCAACGTCATTCCAAAAGTGGCCTTCCTGAGGCTAAATCACAACAAGATATCAGATACAGGCCTTCCGTCAAGAGGTTTTGATGTGTCCTCAATTCTAGACCTGCAACTCTCTCACAATCGGCTCACAAAGTTTCCCCGAATCAGTGCCCGCCTGCAGCACCTGCACCTTGATCATAACAAAATTCAAAGTAAGTAAACATCACTGTCTGAGAGGCCAAGCTCTTTCTTTCTGGCATTTACCTACATCTTTATTAAGGATGGAAGTTGCATTGTCCTCTTCTAACATGTCCTTCACTGGGAACACATTTTATTACTATTTTTTCAGTTTGCAGCCTTGATAAATTAGGTCCAAACCTTCGAATTAAAGTCTGAAAGTGGACCTTAGTAATGTACAGAGATCCAGTGTCGACTGCAGAAATGTTTGTCTTATTTTGAGCCATGTAGATTCTGCTGTGTCTGTCTTGGTAGGAAGATCAGTTTAAGAAAGTGTGTTGGAAATCAGCAACTTCATGTTTTGGTATAAATATAACATCATTTAAGAGTTTTTAGGAAGCAACTGAGGCCTGAATATTATTGGTCTGTGTATGTCTGAAAAATCCCTAATTAGAGTCTCTGATTAAGCTCCTCTCAGTAGGGTTTCTGAAACTTTCCTGTGCACGGATTTGTGGCTCCAGGCCAGAGTACCTGTCTTGAAAATGTCCATTTCTAACAAGATCTTAGGTGAGGCTCTCGCCCTTTCCCTTGGAATCATGCACGGAGCATGACTACAGCAGTCCATGGCTTTACTTGACTGTAATGAAGTTAAATGTCCTTGGGTACTGGTAAGTCCTGGAGTCTTTTAGGATACCTTCTCCTTTCCTGAAAAGAGCTTCTGATACAAGAATGAGAGATGAGTGCAAAGTTCTTGGAAGAGAAGTTATCATAAGGGAAGAAGTGGATAGAGAAATTAAAGACTGAACACATCAGAAATACACTTGACCTCTTCGGAGTCATGTCCCAGGTCAGGCTGCATCTGGTGTAAAAATGAACACTTATCTTGGTCCCTCCATAGGGCCCCTGATGCAGCCTTGCATATTCAACGCTAATACAAGCCCTTTAGGAACATACTCTTGGGGTGCTTGCCCCTCTGCACCTTCAGACAGTACATTCTTAAAGTGACAGTCAACCAAAGTGGCCTAAAGAAATTACACAGACAATTGTCAGAAGATACTGCTTCTCGGTTTTAATGCACCAAAGTTTCCTATAACCAAATAATCATGCAAATATATGATTTATAAGAACACACTATTGTGCCACTGGATACTGCTTGACTAGTCAACATTTTTATAATAACATAGTTGAGTGCCACATCCAGGAATTAAATTGAAGACTTCTTGCTCCCATGGCAGTTATTTGTCCATGGTAAAGAAGTCTAGTGTTTAATCCTGTAGTCAAAAACAAAAGATCCAACTGACAAAAGACATTGTTCACAGAAAAATCTGAACCAAGTAGTACAATGGTCACTAGCCAACACTTAAGTACTGTGTATAGATATTTTTCATGATGAGTGTTCTGTGCTTTTACAGGTCCATTTATCATCTGACAGCGAAGACCTAAAGACAGCTCCGGTGGGAGGTTAACTCCAAGTGATTTCAGAGTCCTATTTGTGAACTGGAAATTCCACCCTCCTAGGCAAATTGAGCATGTGCACATCTAGGAGCGAGAGAGCCTATTCAAAGAAGTTAGCAAGTAGAGCACTCTGTTCTTCCTCCACCCGTATTTTAGGGAGACTGTTCCACAGTGTCAGCTTAGACCTTTCTATTTTGCAGCTATTTCTTATCTGAGTTGATTAGAATCACCAGGAAGGCTTATAAAACTTAGATTGTTCCACCAAACTGCAAGTGGTTTTTGACTCAATTGATCTGAGTAGAGGCCTAACTATTTAATTTCATGAGTGTTAATGCTGTGGGTTCATGAGTTTGGAAATACTAACTCTTGCAAGAACCTTGGATGATATCATTACAAATTTCCACAATGGAGAAACTAAAGCTCAGCTAGAAAGACAGCTGCTGCCAGAACATGAGATTAGAGCTTCTCAATTTAAGTAAAATAAACTAAAATTTCTACTCATCTCATAAACATATCTTTTTATCAATCCCATTGAATTTAAGAATTTAAAAATAATTGATAAAAGCAGAAAAGTAATGATATTGATTAAAAATTCACTTACTTGTTTTTTAATAGAGGTGCAAAATGTGATTATTTCTATATTACAAAGAAGTAAATGTACAGTAAAATGTCCCCAACTGTAATTTTTGCCTTATAATTATAACACAATGTGTTATAATACCTTGTGAAATACTCTTAGCTCTTCTTGTCACGTGACCAAGTGGTTAATAAATGTTTATGTATTTTAAATAAATTTTATACAAAGAGTCCTCAGGTTGAAATAGCATATGATTGAAATAGTCATTTCTTCTAAATATTTTAAGGACCTTAAAAGTTTGTTACTTTAAAAAAATTTCTTAATTTTATTTCATATTTCAGGGAAGGGTCTGCAGGGTGTTCAGGGTCTCACTATTAGATCGAACTTGTAGTGATCCATCTGTTTACTGCCTCCCAAGAGCTGGGATTAAAGAGAGTGCCAACACACCCAGTCTCAATTGCAGTCTCAGCATGCCCTGGGGTGGGGCTGGCACAGCAGGCCCAGGGATCGAACCCCCGGTCCCTGGGCCTGCTTGTACGTGCTTTACTCCGCTGAGCTATTTGGCTGGCCTTGTTACATATTTTGTCCATTCAAGTAACTTACTTCATGGTATTCTCTGAGAAATATCATTATTAATTCATGGAAAACAATTAAATTGAGACTATCGTTTCTCATATTCTACATATTTATACATACAACAGCTTTGAGGTGAGATGGTGGTAAAGATATGAGATCATCCCTGAATGGATGATGCCCTCCATTGGGCTGAGTGGATTCCATGTAGCAAGAAAAAGATGAGGCTGTTCCCATCATACCCAGGTGGAGGGATGATATTGCATGATAAAGTCTGTGTAATTATCAAATGAAAATATATGAGAGAAAACTTTAAAATCACAACTTCACGAGTGTTTTATTAAGTTAAATTCATAAAACAGCCTCAAGTTCAAGTTCAAAGCAAACAGTAAGCATAAAGCCTTTCAAAGCAAATGAATGTATAAGTATCGAAAGGACAGAGAGGAGAGGCACTGCCACTTAGATGGGTCTCAGTAACAAACAGTTTTTGCTCAAATCAGCTATAGGAATGAATCTAAAGGCAGTACAGGGCTGGGGAGATAGCTCAGCTGTCTAAGTGCCTGTCTGGCAAACACAAGGACCTGGTTTTGATCCCTGGTACCACATGCCGTGCCACCTCACAGCCTGGGGTATGCTGAGCTGGCCACCGAGACTAAGTATGGTGGTGCACTCCTATAACCCCAGCCCTGGGAAGGCTGAGACAGGAGGATCACTACGAGTCTGAGCTGTGTAGCAAGACCCTGTGCAAAAATAAATAAATAACAGGTTAAAAAAATTAAAAACAGTACAGTATATGGATTCATGGTTGAGACCAGCAGCTGTATATTTGAAGTTTGCCACTTTAACACATAATCCATCTAGAAGATGATCCTAAGCCTCAATATAGATGATGATGCTATGGGTTCTGATCCAGGGCAAGTGGCACGATTTCTCCAGTCCTACCCATATGAAAAGTTTGATGGGATAATCCCTGGCTTCGAGTCTTTGATTCTTACGCTGGACTCTTAATCAGATTGATTTTCCCCATCCATCCTTTCATGTAACCATTCCTTCAATACTACACCCGTCCAGTTTTGCTGAGCCAGGTGTGAACAGTTGTATCCATCTCTAACTCATACTTCAGCACTTTTAACATGTTTTATCACACCGGTGATCTTCCAGGAAAGATTGTATGTCCCGTATACCTTTGTTCACAGTACAGTTCTTACCAGTGTTTTCTTTCTAGTATTCTATAATAAGCATAGCAGACCATAGAGTGAAATGACTGTGCATCTCTTACACACTTTTACCAGATTATTTTGGTAAAACAGGTGCCCACAATCATTGCTTTACAGAAGGTGGCCAATTTCTCTGCCACTTTTATTCTTCCTGCCACTAGAACTTCCTTAGGGCTGCTGTGGCAGACTCTGCACTCTTAGCCTCTACTCTCTCTTGCATCCTGATTAATCATTTATTCTGTCTTTGGCTCCATAGGTGTGAATGTCTCCAGGATATGTCCTACTCCTATCACACTGCGGGCAGACCAAGATGTCTTCATCCACGGACCTCAACTGAGTTACCTCCGACTGGATGGAAATGAAATTAAACCACCAATCCCAATGGACTTAATGACATGCTTCAAGCTCCTTCAAGCCGTCATCATTTAAGGATGTCTTTAGCCATTCCAGAATTAGCTTTTAAATGAGCTAAAATTTCCAGCTGCTCTTGGCCACCATTTTCATCTGTGCAGCTTTTATGTTTCCATACAAAACTGCTTTAGTACTTATGCCAGTGGCGTACAGTACAACATACATTAATTTGCTTCTCAATTAATACATCAGACACAGAGTTAAGATAATTTATCAACTCAAAGATAGCTGTTTCTTTTGTAGCTGATGAATACCAAGTAATTCATTTTCATTGTGAAAATGAGAAGCATATAATTGTATGTTCAGAATTAATTACATAGGTGCTATATTTACAATAGAAATGTAAGACTCAAAGAAGATGTAGGGAGATTGGAGGCAAACGAAATTTTTTTCTTGGGATTATGATGAAACAAAGACAGATTGCTGAATGGATATTGCGCATGAAATTTTGGCATTTCATTCAAAAATGAGTGTATAATGATGCAAATACTTTACAGGAAGAGATTTCTTGTCCTTTTTTACTGAATAACAAAGCAGAAAACATCTAAAATTCACTATTTTTCTATAGCTGTTTCATATATATATATATATATATATATCTGTATTTTCAATGATAGTCTAAATTTTACAGTTATTATAAAGCATTTCTCATAGAGTCCTCATTTTTTTAATGTATTTTAGTACAGGGTCTATGAGGTCTCACTACACATATTGGACTCATAGTGATCCTCCTATTTTTCAAACTCCCAAACTCGGATTTCAGGTGTGCACTACCACTCCCAGTCTCACGTTTAACATTTAGAATGCGAATTACTCAATTCTTATTTTATTCATGATTTTTGGATTTTATAAATAATAGGACTAAAGGCTTTTTAACAAATCAAATAAAACATGTGTTTTGAGACAATTACTCTAATGTTCCATTTAGGTACGTATAATAATAAAAAGTGACATACTAACAATTGTTTGTATTTTTCTAGCATGAATATATGCAAACATGTTTTTATCTATCTTCCTTTTTCTTATTCCTGTAAACACAGGATAATATTGTATTCTTATTTTACATATCTGTTTCTCATGAGTTAAAAAGTAACCCAGTGTATCATTATGCAATAAAATATATTTTAACCTTCTACTTTTGTAAGATATGCACTATCAACAATAAATATTCCAGAGAGACTAATTCATGCCATTTTTTATGTTTTCCAAAGAGTGTTCTCAACAAATCCTATAAAATTTGATCTACTTTACTAAATATAGGATTATACACTCTTAGGATCAAAAAATTAAACAAGGTTAACAGATTAGTGCAAAGATCCTCAAAATGTGTGGCCTTTTATATTGTGATTTCTCAGAAAAAAATAACAATGTGTGGTATTATATATTTTCCTGCCAGAACTAATTTGGATGTAAAGGAGAACAAATCTTTACATTTTAGTATTTTTTACAAATGTTACCTGAAGGCAAGTAATCAAATTAATTAGCATTCCAAAGAAAAGTATTTTTTAAAAATATCTCAATGTACGTAAATATAACTATGAAAAATACATTAGAAATAATTTTATCATTAAACCTAGGTTTATTTGATATATGTAGAATTGGAAAAAGGAATATATGGTGAGACAAAGAATAACATGAAGTACTTAAAAGTTTGTTAGGTGGAAACATTTCAGGAAGCTTCAAACTGAAGAATAAAACTTAAGGCAAGATGCTATATTTCATTTTAGGTACAGGCAGATTTTCTAATGTAGTTGTTCCTCACTTTTTCAATAGTTCTATTTTCAACATTTTCAGTTACGTATGGTGCAGTGTAGTCTAAAAGTATTAAAGTAAAAATTTTGTAAATGTAAAATATGTAATTTTAAAAGAAATTTCCACTATCTGGCTCAGTCCACATGGAATACAGATCAACTCCTTACCCTGCACATCGGAATCATGTGCTCTTCCTTACGTGAACTGCTCAGAGCCACCTGAATGGGCAGGTCTGTCAGCACAGCAGTGTCACAGTGCCTGTGGCCAAGGGATCCATGATGTAGTGGATTCATGCTGCTTGCGTAACAGATGTACACCTCCTTACCCTTCATCCTATCCTGTGTCCTGTGGGCGTAAAATCATTTTGTATCATTGAGAAAGATGGATATGAATGGCACAGAAAGATGTCTTATGAGATACCACATTCACATACCCCCATTATGATATATTGTTATACACAGGAGCTCCACAAGTTGTGGGGTTACATTCGCATAGAGCACCTGCCAATTGTGAAAAATTCATGAATTTCAGATATCATCAGAAAAATGCCTTTGCATGTTTTTTTTTTTTTTTCTTGTGGTAGTGAGGATTGAACTCAGGACCTTGCACTTGCCAGGCAAGCACTTATTCTACTGAGCTATGTCCCAAGTCCTGCATGTCTATTTTTATAGTTTAAACCATAAATATGCAGTATTCTGTAGATACTTCATTAAATTTAATGAATAGTGTATTAAGGCATAGAGATCCAGCGTGTTTTGCCTGCACTACAGGAGTCCTAGGGCTTTGAGAAGAGCAACATCTAGAACACCTGAGCCATTATGATACAACAATGCTGGTGCATCTGTCAGGGATGCAGTGCAGGGCAGGAGCCAATCAGCATCAAGAAGGACTGAATATCATCGCTCTTGATTGGTTACTTACAAACCTCCTGCCAAAACCTAATTACAGAGGATATTTACAGTTTTCCTGAAATGTGGGGTTTCCTCAAACAATTATTAGCTAGGTTCTGAGGAAAATGTGTCAACAACGGAGACCATGACCTCTAAACTGCAAATTTATGGAGGTACACTGTAATTGTTTTTATTATTACTTTTTATAAGTTTTTTACTGTGACTAATTTTATAAATTAAACTTTATCAGAGGTATACATGTATAGTCAAAACCCAGGGTATGTATGGCTGGCTATTATGTGGGTCAGGTATTCACTGTGGTTCTTGAAATTTACTCTTCGTAGATAGGGGCAAATCTAGTTTTTCAAAGATGTCCAGCAAAGGAGTCAATTTTTCTTGAGATTGAGTTCATTACTTGATCTTTTCCATAAGGAAAGAATGATGACAGTAGATAAATGATGTGAAAAGCCCTTCTGACCTGGAAACAAGAGAGTTCTAAAAATTTTTTTTAATGTATTTAGTACAGGGACTGCGGAGTCTACAGGGTCTCACTACATAGACTCCTGTTTTCAGCCTCACAAGTGCTGGGATTACAGGCACATACCACCACGCCTAGTCTTAATCGCAGTCTCAGTGCTCCCTGGAGCCTGAGGCTGGCATGCTATACCAGGGATCAGAGCCTAGCCACTGTGCTCTGCTTAAGCAGGCACTTTATTCTGTTGAGCTATATGGTCAGGCCTAAGCACTTATTCCACTAAGCCCTCTCCCTAGCTCCCCTAAAATATTCTTTTTATTTTATTTTTATTTATTTATTTTTTTATTTTTCAACAAATAATACACTGCATATATTCTTCTTAGTGGTTAATTGCTGTACAAGATG